AAAATTGAAGCTTTTACAATATTTCGCGGCGCCCAGTTTGGGAACACTGGTCTAGGTTGTATAAGGTGTTGAAGGACTGATGGTTTAATTTTCCAGTCTACTTACTATGCATTAAAGTAATACAGTCGATTATAAATGCAGAACACTAGTTTGCCTCGTTGACACTTTCACTATGAAAGTTGATTAGAAGCCACAATAGCACAACTCTGATTTGATTCCCGCTGGGATGCTGGTGAGATTTAGGCGAGGTCGTGGCTGCAATCCAGCCCGTAAGTTGATAGCTTTCGGGAGGCAATGGCAAATGGAATTCATTAAAAGTGTTTTTGGTGTCTACGCATCTGATTGTGCGTAAATTTAATCATCAGCTCTTCCTCAACTTATGTGAATTATCGTTCGGTATGCTGACTCCAATCTATTTAGCGGCTCGCGGAAACACACTTTTTCTTCTTGCTCATGATTTGATGCTAATGTCGAAAAATGGTCAGCATCACAATAAAGCCCGTAAGCCTTAATTTGGCCTTTTGTGTGTAAGTGTGTGCATGTGTATTCAAAGTGTCCGTCCAGATCAGCGGCACATCTGACACATTCTCTGTCATTCTCTGCAGAAGCGGCCTGGACAATGTGCCTCGCGGGTTCCGCCTCATCTGGCTTTGTCCTCCGCTGCTCGGCACGGGCCAGCAAATGAGAAACGGTACAGCTTGCGCCTTCGGGTGGGGCGCCGCCGGCCTGCAACCTGGTCTCGCAGGCGGGGGCATAATTAGTCTCGGGGCTGGCAGAGTTCTCAAGGAGCCCAGTCAAGTCGGCCAATTTCGGCCAGCCCCGGCCCGAGGCCGGTGTCAAGGGGAGGCAGAAGCGGCTCGAACTGGACCGCAAACGAATTGGCCCCAGCACCACGGGCTGCGCGGGGATTCGGTCTCGTGGCCAATCAACTGGATCGACAAGTGGCCTCCCACCGCGAGCGCCCAGCCCAGCCACGATGCCACCCGTCCGTCGCGACCGGGCCACTTGAGGTGGGGCAGACGTGCCCACGGCAAGAGGCGCCGTCTCAAGAGGCCCAACCAAACAACCAACCCACAATCCCGAGGACGCTCTCGGAAGGTGGAGTTGTCGCTGTTCGGCTCTGCAACAGCGGGACTCTGCCTCGTTCGGTGGACAATTAACAAGCACTTGGCGCTCTCCGGTCCGAGGAGAAGGCCCCACGCCAACGACCGAAGCATGGACAGCCCATTCGCCGGTACCCTCTTTTTGCACGGCCAGGCTGGGACGAATGAGCCGGCGCCACTTGAGACGCCATCACTGCCTACCCGGTTTCCGAGGCCACATGCTTGGACAGACCTTTCGGACGCCAGAGCGGCCAGGCGTCGCATCACCGAGGCGCTGGAGACAGAAGGAGAGGTCAGCATAAGTGGTGCTGCTTCGCGCTCTCTTTCGAGAGGGAGTCAGCCGAGCCCACTCTTTGACAAAGGAAAGAGTACAAGCAAACACACTGGCCGTACGG